TTTTTTCGCTAATCTTTCTTTTCTTTTATATCCTTTTTTGTCTTTATTGAGTTAGATATCCGTTTATTAAATATTTATATAAACATATATTATTATTAAATTGTTTTTTTCATAGATGGCAGCTTTAAAGTGTAATTTGCCTCATATATTTTTCACCAATTATTTTTTACAGTAAAGCTAAAAGCTCATTTATTATATTTTTTGGTCTTATTTTTGTTAAACATGTTTGTTTTATTTCACTTCATATCGGTAAGTTTGTTTTCTGCTTTTCATCTTTCATCTTGATATCAATTAAAATTACATTTTAAAAAGAAAATTTTTTTTTTCGAGGCATAGAACCATTATAAAAAGTGATTTTTATCTTAGGATAATTATTCTTTATTTTAAAATGTCTCTTTTGCTGTCATAAAGAAATGCGCCCTGATGAGAATCTTCACGTTTTTCCATAAATTTTTTTTCTATATATCGAGCATATTTGTGTAGAACATATTTATGTTCTAAAACTATGTATATATGGCTCCAAAACTTAGTGCATATGGTTTCGACATTATGTATAGTTCGTTCACCAAGAGTTGGCACTTGGCTCCACCTCCTCGAGTGCAGAGTTCATTTCAGCTCGGGAGTAAGAAGAGAAACATCTCCGCGCTTGAAATCAAAATAACCCTTAATGCGCGTCAAAACTTCGCTCACTTACTTCGCTTTATCATCTGCTATTATACCTTTCGTTTCTCTAGTCAATTAAATATACATAATTTAAATTTAAAAACTGCTATTTTCCCAGCAAAATGTTTCAAGAAGGACAAACTATTCAGTTAAAAGAGAGAAATATCATAAATGACGCGAAATATCATCAAATTTATGATATATTTAATGTTAAAAAAATGCAGATGAAGTTTGCAAAATAAATATTTTTGCCATACAAATAGAAACCTTGTTCAAGATTGCTCACGACATTCACCAAAAAATAGCGAAATAGTATCGTCGGATACCACGTGATGAAGGCGGAGCCAAGTGCCAACTTCTGAAGAACGAGCTATATATGGGTCATTCTCACGAAAACTGTCATTTTTCAGTTCATAAAATCCCCAAAAAGTAAAGTGAATAAAAAGCTCTGAAACTTTCTATATTAATAGAAATATGTAATGGCATTATAAAGAAAGTATATATCCTATAAATTATACTTAATATTTAAATTAATTAATTTTTTAAATAATTAATTTATAATTATTAATTTATAATAATTAATAATTAATTAATTAATTTAATAAATAAATTAATTAGTTTAATAAATCAATTTATTAATTTATTTTTCAAATTAATTAATAAGTAAATTAATTATTTTCACTATTTAAAAAGTGAGGGACTGACACTAATAGTGAGGGAATGATATTTTATTTTAATACATGTTTTTATCTAAGTTACATCTACCTAAAGTTTGAAAATGATAACATACTAAGTATATCTAATATTTATTATAATTTAGTCTTATATATTTAATAGTTTTTACAGGTTTGGGAAATAAAATTGGCTGGCACGATTGAACAAAAAAAAATTTAATAATATACTCATCTTGAATCATTCCCTCACTTCAGCGTCATTCCCTCACTTTATACACTAGTGAGGGAATGACGAATTCAATAAAATTTAAAAATAACAGTTAGGCCTAATTAATTTCTGAAGTCAATCACATACAATTATATTCATACAAGAAAGCAACATATAATTATCCACTTTCTCGATGAAGTTGTATTTTATTTTACTCTAAAAAATGACATGAGGGAATGACAAATGTAAAAAATTTTACCTGGTTTGATTCATTCAAATTTATTCCACAGCAAAGCTTCTTTAAGTTGAAGATGGAAACATACTGCAATTTTGTTCTATGATGCCAGTTGTTAACTTCTGAAGTTTTTATTAAAATATTTTTATTCTAAGAAGATTGCAGGTGATAAGAACATTGTTGTGAGGGAATGACGCGAAACACTGGGGACAAAGTTTAAAATAGTGCTGTGTTAATATTTTTATCAGAAATTAAATTTAAAATTGATTTTCTGAATTCTATATTTCAGTATTCTGAAATAAAAAACACGAATTTGTAAAAAAAAAAATTTTATTTCAGAAACAATTTTTTTCTTTTTTTAAATCAGCAGTGGGGACAAGTGAGGGAATGACATATTGGTATATTTTTATTACCTAAAATTAATAAAAAATAAAAATTGATAATTTTATTTTTATTCTTTTGTTAGCTTGCATTCTGAAGGACACTTTCCCTGAAAAATTTTTTTTCGTAAGTTGTAAAACAAACATAAAATATACTGGGGACATGAAAATGACTGTTTTTGTGAGAATGACCCATATATATATATGGTTCTAAAACTATGTGCATGTGGTTACAAAACTATGCATATATGGCTCCAAAACTACGTGCATCTGGATTCAAAACTTTGTATATATGGCTCCAAAACTATTTGCACATTGTTTCAAAACTATGTATATATGGCTTAAAAACTATGTGCATATGGTTTCAAAACTATGCATATAAGGTTCTAAAACTATATTGAGTATGGAGTGTTGAAGAAGAAGAAGAAGAGAGGAAGCGAGATGCAGGCAAGTGTGTATAATCGGTGATAGGAAGGGTGCATTTCCGATGTTCCGCTCTCATCTTCCTAAAATCATCTCCGCCACTGAAGCATCTCCCCTCCTTCCGCCGACAACGACCCTTCCCAAGGACTGACACCACACAACACTCGTTTTGGGTGAAAAAGAACGAAAAGTGGAAAAAAAAATTAAAAAAAAGAAAAAGAGAATAAATTCTGGACATGCCTGGTTTTAAGATTTGATGAGAGCAGAGCAAGTTAACCGAGAAACCCCTTCTCGACTCGTTTATTTCTTAGGTGTGGAAGAGGGGGTGACAAAACGTTCCACTGACGTCCCACAGGAAACGATTTTCGAAAGCATTATTTCAAATTTTTCCTAAAAACCAAATTATCGTTTGCTTCTTTTTTTTTTCTTATCGTCTGATTTTTATGGGCTTTATCGAAGATGGAGTGTTGATAATGCTCGATTTTGAACCTTAGAAGGGAAACGCAAAAGTGCATGACTCCAATCTTTTATTTTATCTCTCTGTCTTTCCTTTCTCTTTTTCTCAATTTTTTCTTTTGCTGTAATTTTATTCTACTTTTAACTTAAAAAATTTTGAAGCATCTTAGAAATTACGTATCGACAAAATAAAATTACGTATCGAAAATTACCGGTCGCTACAAAAAGGCAAATGGAGTGTTAGAAATCGTCTGCCAGTCGCCACCCGAAAGTCACTTTTTATGTAGAAAATGCACCCCCTACAATTTTTTTAAAATAAATGAATCATTATGAAAATTTCATAATATTCTGAAATTTTTTTTTTTTTATTTAAGAATTTTCTTCAATTTAGAAATGAAGTGTTTAATTTTGACCATATTATGAGAAAAGCTTCGAAGGAAATGCCTTACATTATTAATATGATCAGTTTTTAAATCGTTTAATATGTTTAATTTTTGATAAAAAGGGCCACATGTTCCAAATAGTGGCTATTGTTAAAAAGTACTACTGGCTATTGGCCAGACCCAAAATTTACTGATTTTGATCTATATTTATTTGTTTATATACTTTAAAAAAAAAGAAGATCAAATTTTTATTGTTTGCAAAACATTAAACGTGTCGGTGCGGCACATTTAAAACTAAAAATATAATTTACTGATTAAATTTATTATTTGTGTTTTTTTTGTTGTTTTTTTCCTTACGAGGTGCTCGGAACTTTAACACCTCTCATATAATTTATCGAGATCGAATCGAATGATGATCGATGATAATATCGAGATCGAATAATGACTAAATTGTTAGTGATTGGAATTTTATGCACTATAATGTAATCTTACAACTTAAATACACTAATTAATTAGTGCAGATGATATTTTTTGAGTTACAAAATCAAACAAAAACATGTTTTCGTTGAATAAACTCTTTTTCTTTTTGTTTGAAAGATTCGGATTTTCCACCTTTAAAATATATGTTAGGGAAGCCGCCATCTGGAAAGTAGGGTTCTAATAGTTAAGTTAGGAGGTCGGTCGAAAGTTAGAATCTATTTTGTTCTATTTTTCTTTCTGTTCTATTTTTGTCTAATTCTTGAACTCTTTAATTAAATTTCAGAACTAGTTTATCCTATTCATGCAAAAAAAAAATTATTTTTTACTTTTTAATTTCACTATGATATAAAATATTTTTAATTACAAATACGTTTCATATGTTAAGTTTTCGACTATTCTAAGCTATGTAATTTTAAATGACGAAATCCAAAATGTTAGCGGAATGTATCAAATAGTTCTTAAGAAATAAAAATTAAAACATATAGTTTTTTTTTAATTGTTAATTCTTATTCTATTTTAAATCTATAATAAACGTGCAAGAGTTTCACTGTTTTCTGAATTTTGTGTTTGAGCAGTGTTTTGAGAGTAATTTATAATTTATTTAAATTTTGATGCATTTTGATGCATACAAAAACTCCAGAAGTTAAAAATAGCTCTAAAATTCTACACTACTTTTAACTTGTTGCAGTTGCCTCCACCTTCTTCTCCAAAAACGTGTTTTACATCCTTCAATGACAATTGATGTCTTCAAAGAAAATTAGCAAACGATTATGAAAATCGTTTGCTTAAACAGTTAGCTCATATTTTGTAATAAATGACTTATATATACACTTTTAACGCAAGTTTTATTATCATTATTTATAAATATAAATTTTATTTAAGCAAGTATTTATTAAGGCAAAAATTATTTAAGGCAAAATTATTATTATTTTTTTATATGTATAAATTTTTCCTTTTCTATAAGATTAGATGGCAGCTCTAATTTACATTGGAATTTAAAATGGCGACTTTAATTTTCGTTTCAAACGATGTTTTGAAATACATTTGATGAAGAGAGCAACATTTTGTGTTTCTATTTAAGGATTGATATTAAGTTACTTTAACTTAGTCGCCTCGTTTAATTGAATGAATACAAAGACTTGTAAATGAAATTCTCTGTTTCGATTTTTAATGGCTTCTTCTATGTTATTGATGAGAAATGTCCGAGCTATTCCATTATTTTATAAATGGGTTGTCCTTCACTTTTGGCTGAAATCGGATGAAAAAGCGGTGTGGGTGGGTGGAAGAGAGCATCCGGTGGGAATCTTTGGAGTGGATCGAAGCGCAAGAAGTCCTTCGTCAACCGACCACAACTCCTTCTTTTCCATCTTCTTCTTTTCTTTGCCATCCTCCCCCGCTATAACTCAAATTAAATAAATATGTCAATAAGCTCACCTTTACACGATCTCTTCATTGATTATAAATTTGTTGATCTAATCAATTATTTTCATGTACACATTTTCTATTTTTGATACTTTCTTCAAATCGATTTTAGATTATTTATATA